TTTGTACGATCAGCTAGTTGGATTATGATGGCTGTTTCTTTAAGTGGTCCAAGATTTAGAGAAGCAAAAATAGTCTTGGGCATCACATTGATTGACGCCCCTAAATCTAACATTGCTTTCCTAATCGGTGTATTCCCTATCTTACAGGGGATCGTGAACATACCTGGATCTCCACACTTGGGTGGAAGCTTCCTTTGGAGCATTGCTGACACATTTTCTCCCACCGCTACTCTTTCGTCCCCTCTCAGTTTCCTCTTATGGGTGCATAGATCCTTGAGAAATTTAGCATATTTCGGTATCTGCTTGATTGCATCCAGTAAAGGGATGTTAATCTCCACTTTTCGGAACACATCTAGAAGCTCTTTTTCCTTCTCTACTTTTTTTGTCTTCTCTAGCCTGCAAGGAAAAGGAGGTAAGTTAGATTTAATAGTGGGCGGAGGAGTGATGATTACCTTGGGATCCTTGCGAATACGCCCTTCCTCTTCAATTTCCTTCTCTATCTCCTCTTCACTTTTGCTTTTTGAACTTTCCACTTTAGGCCCTTCCAATTCCTTGCCACTCCTCAGTGTCATGGCACTTACATTCCTGGGATTTACTTCAGGTTGTGAGGGTAACTTTCCATAAGAGTGGGACTCCAAGCGATTGATGGCAGTTGCCATTTGGCTTATTCGAGCCTCCATATCCTTCATGCCTGCTTTTGTGTCCTGCTGGAACTGAGTGGTGCTCATGGCTAAGGTTCTAGTTTCTTGCTGGAGCTGGGCGGTTGTCGTAGCCAGGTTGGTAGTAGTCGTGGCTAGGTTTTTGACTAGGTCCTCCAGAGAACTTCCTGAGTTGGAGGACGAGGGTTGCGATTTTGGTTGCCATGGCTGGTGGAATCCTGGTGGACGATTTGGAAATGCATTTTGTTGCCTATTCCCATAACTGAGATTTGGATGGTCCCTCCAGCCCGGATTGTACGTATTGGAGTATGGGTCGTACTGTCTGCGGGGCGCGGGCACGCCTCCGGCCATGTTTACCTGTTCCGCCCCGTCCTCTTGCAAAATGGGGCACGAGTCTGTGCAATGGTCCATGCTAGTGCATATTCCACACACCTTCGCTCGCGGCGCGTCTCTCATGGCTAATTGCCTAACAACTGACGTCAGTTCTGACATTTGTTGCTGTAAGGATGAAATCTCTACCTCGTTGACTCTACGGGGAGGGTTGCTCTCACGGAAGCCAAATTGCTGGGAGTTCTCTGCCATGGCTTCGATGAGCTCCCACGCTTCCCTTGGTGTCTTGTTTGCCAGTACTCCCCCACTTGCAGCGTCGATGATACTCCTATCGGTTGATTGGAGCCCTTCGTAGAAGTATTGGATTAACAGTTGCTCACTAATTTGATGCTGCGGGCATCTAGTGCACAATTTGTTAAACCTTTCCCAGTATTCGTACAAGGACTCACCGGGGTATTGTTTAATGCCGCAGATCTCCTTCCTCAAACTCGTAGCCCAGGATGCAGGGAAGAATTTTTCCAAGAATTTCTTTTTCAGCTGCGCCCATGTGGTAATACTACCTGCTGGTAGGTAGTACAGCCAATCTTTAGCTGCATCTTTGAGAGAGAATGGGAAGGCTCTCAATCTAATTTGCTCTTCAGTGACCCTAGGAGGTTTCATACTAGAGCAGACCACCTCGAACTCCTTTACGTGCTTGTGGGGTTCTTCGCCAGAGAGACCATGGAAAGAGGGTAAGAGTTGAATCAACCCCGACTTCAGTTCGAAAGCGGTATTCTCAGCCAAAGCGGGGAATGTGATGCATAAGGGCTGGTGAGTCAGCTCCGGGGCAGCCAGCTCCCTCAATGTTTGGTTGTTGGCCATGCTTACTTCGTCTTCCGCTGACTCGTTTGCAGCAAATAAGTGTCCTTCTTTTTGCCTCCTGGTCTCTTGCCTCCGCCTACGCGCTGCCTTCTCAACCTCAGGATCGTATACTAATTCACATGTGCGAGAAGAACGGGGCATAAACCAGCAAAAGTACCAAGAAGAATAGAATAAAATAAAAATAAAAATAAAAACTGAATTTGAAAAGAAACAAATAATCCAAACGCCAGCTCCCCGGCAACGGCGCCAAAAATTGACAGGTGCCGAACCTGTGCAATAATAATTACTAAAAAGTCCTAATTACCACCTCAATTAAATAATTATAGAACAAATCCAAGTACTGGAGCAGGGACCCTAGGTGTGCAATGGGTTACTTGATTCACCCTGTTCCCGAAGAGTTTGCTTGATCCGATATACCGGATTTGTCTATAAAAATACTAATTTTGCGTACAATGGCAAGTAGGGTCGATTCCACAGGGAGCAGGTAGGAAATTATTTCTTTCCAAATTAGTAGAACGAAATTGGGGGATTTTCAATGGGAGGCAAATAAAAATAAAATAAAATAAAACAAACAAATTTCAAAACTAACTCACAAAGCACAATTCACTGAAAATAGCAATTAACAAAAGTTCTACCCAAAGGATCAACTGCGCAGGCACGGTCCAATTAAATGATCATCGATGCAAAGATATTTCATCTATTTATCACTAGGTTGGTTATAGTTATCAATAAGCTCTGACAACCAGTTCTTCCTTACCTTTTCGACAGTCAAGGTACGACCATTGACTGCTTCCCTAACCCGATAACAACCCTAGGTACGACCGTAGGAATTTAATTACCCAATTGCATTAAAGCTAGAAGAACCCAACCCTAACCAATAAACGCGCTAAGAGAGTTTATTTAAGCTAGATCCTGCGTTTCCCCATCATAAAACCAATTATGGTGGTTGCCACGGGGTGTCAATTAAATGAACAATTACGGATTCTATTTAATTAACGTGGCAGTAGGCTATTAAATTAAATCAAATACCCGGCCGTTGATATTCAATTAATCAAATACCCATGAACAATTAATTCAGGAAACGCACGAATAGCAACAAAATTGGAGGAAATAATGAAAGCTTGATTAGATCTCACAGATATTATGGACCGCGCCCTTGCGTCAACCTTTTGGGTAGAGGGGGAAATTAGCCGCTTCTCATCGTTTCAATCCCGCGTGATTTAATTGAATTCATTCAATTATTTGCCAAGGAATTGGGAAAGGGAAATTAACTGCAATAACAACCGAAAAGGCCCTGCCTTCGTCCCTGCTTCGGAGTCCCAATTACAAAGCCAAAGCTACGAATGAATTGTCCAGCGAAAAAGTTGAAAGTCAGAAGAGGAAAGCGACGTCTAGCGCCTGGGAAAGAGAAAACTAAAGCTGTTGTTTTTGATTCAATGTCAATCTAGCTATCTAATTTGCTGCCGAAGAAAAAACCAAAAAGAAACGACGGAAAGCGTCTGACAAAAAGTAGAAAAGGAGAATTAAAGCTAAGGTCTTGATGATGTGTGAATCCTGCTTCCTCCCTTCTTTATAGCCGCCGCACAAGAGAAAAATCAAGGCCAGAGACGTCTGGAGCAATTCAAAAAGCTATCCCCTTTGGAGTTTTGATCCCCCGCTTCGGGTTCACGTGGACCACGGTCCGTCTTTCGGTTTCGTCCACCTCCCAAGGCGTGGCCACGCCCTGGGACGACAAGTCTTCTGGAAATTTTCCCCGCGAGATCATTTTTAATGTCGATCACCTATAATTCATACCAATGTGAAATATGAATTAGACCTCAGTACTTAGCACAGTAAATAGCCAAAATTAGGCCGAAATAACACTGCAAAATGTGTCAAATAACTGTTCTATCAATGGCCTCATGACACTAAGATTTGCAACACAAAAGAGCAAACACACTCCTCGATTTGGGATAGGTGCCACTATAACAATGGGCAATCAAAGAATGATCCGAGGGTGGATGTTACAAGAACGAAGTTCTGGACACCAGGTCCTGGATGAGCTCATAGCTATCAAACTATTGATGAGTAAAGCTGCTGTCCAGAAGATGGAGAAGATTGAAGTGCAAATCCAGAATAAGGTAACGTTTACTCTCCTCCAGCAAAGGAAATCTCAGGAAATGCGAATGCTCACCTTGATGGAGGATATCTATAGTCTTAAGGCCTTGTTTCGTATGTGCTCCTTTTGTTTAATTAATAGGAATCTTAACCATATAACTCATTGGATAAGCGTGCAAGCGCTAGACTTTGTTGTAGATCAGGAATTTTTGATTCCTCAGTGTTAGTATGCACTGGTTGTAAAGTTCGCTCAAGTCTTTACTTGAAACTGTAAAGGTTCTGTTCATCTATAAAATCACATATCGTTTCGACAAAAAAAAAAAAAAGTATATGCTAAGTTTTTATTTTCAAAACTTTTGCTTTCCTTAATTATTGAACCTTAACATGCAATTTGATATTGACCACTCTAATTGATGGTAATAAAGCTTCGTATGAGATGAGCGTGCATATTAGCGAATACATTAATAATTGATTAATTTTTAAAAAATGGCAAATAAAAAAGATCCTAATAAGCAAAAACTTATTATAGGAAAATCAACAAAAAAAGGCCCAATACTAACATGTGAAGGTGTAATTGTAAAAATGGGTAATTGACTGTGAATAGTGTAATTATAATAAAATAGAATATATTTTTTGCTTGATTTCTTAAATTTGAAAATAGATGAAATTGATTTGTAAAAATTATGCAGTTTTTTCAGTTTTGTAAATTAGGGAACAAACATCCTAAAATTTTTTGTTAGAGAAATATATTATTTTCTTATAAATAAAAATTTGAAAAAAAAAAGAAAACTATTTTAACATAAAAAAGAGATGAGAGACAAATAAAAAAAAAAAAGAAAACAATCATATAGCAAAGGGGTATTTTTATCTTTTAGGGGTTAAGTGACACAAAATGAAAGTTAGGAGGTAAAGTGAAAAATCAGGATATGACTTTAGTGGGTAAATTACAATTAATCCCGTTTGTGAATTATAACACCCATCCTACCAAAAATAAATAAATTTAAAAAAAAAAGAAAAAAAAGAGAGGAGGCTCTGTACTTAGCAGGGAGTTCTTCTTGGGGGGCCACGGTAATGGCTGGCTTCTAAACTGAAGGTCCAAATTTCATAAACCCTTCTCGGCCTCGTGCTTCTTAAAACCCAAACTAATTTGCTCTGGCCTTCTGTCACTCTGTCCCTCCAATTCAAAAAATGAACATTCTTTTCCCCAATCCCCTTAGTCAGCTCTCAAAATCTGCTTCGCAGAAAATGTTTAGGCATTTCTTTTGCACAAGATCACCAAAATCCCTCGACCGATCTGACCCTTCAAACAATCTTTACAAAAGAATTTCACCTCTGGGTGATCCAAAAATCTCAGTGGTGCCTGTGCTTGATCAGTGGGCTGCCGAAGGAAGACCTGTCCACAAAGAATATCTAGAGAGCATCATAAAGGAATTGAAAGCATACAAAAGATACAAACATGCCCTCGAGGTTTTGCATTCTTTTTCTCTTGCTTCCTTGCCATTTTCTTGTACTGAAACGCAATTTCTGTATTGTTTTCCTGTTTCCGTTGGACTATATGCTTGTGGATATTTTTCCTATTATGAGTAAATGGGTAAAATTTTTTAAAAATAAGTGGATAATCATACTTGGTTTCCAGAAATATAGAAGTTAGATTTCTCAATAATCAACTTTTAGTTAGGGTCGACTGCCAGGAGATCGACGTTACTATTTCTCATTTTTTTTCTCCTTCCCCAGCTTATTTTTCTTTTCCTAATCCATTTGCACATCAAATCAAACATCATTGTCACAGACCGAATGAAACAGTTTGGATTAACTTTGGACCTTTCATTGGACTTGATGGTTGCGAAGAGTAGGAGGTCAAGAGCCCAAATTTGGCGTACATTAGATTCATGGGCGAAGTATTGTTTGCACCTTATCATGCACTGTCTGAGAATAAGAACCGTGAATCATATGGACACCGCTCCCAGTAAAGCAACCAACTTAATTGAAGAAAACTTAAGAAGCATTCTGTTTCAATTTTGTGAAACATACCATGCATCCAATTGGATTTCCAAATACTTAAATCTAGAATATGGAGCAACTAATTATGGAACCTACACAATTACTAGCTTGAAGCCCAGTCCGTGTATGAACCTTCCGCACTTTATGTAACTCCTTTTGTGTGAACATCATCATGCTTCTGCAGGTGTAGTCATTGTCGCAGATATATCTGAAAATTGAAATTACTGAATTTTAGCTATTTGTGAAGCTTGATCTTGGCACCTGGCCAGCCAGTTTTCTATTATTTCTTTCTTAAATGGGCTCCTGTCTTTCCTTAACAAACTTTAGATAGAAAACTGGAAAATTTCTTTAGCATATTCAATCACATGAAGCTCTGGAATAGTTCGTACTGGTAAAGAAACCGCCTATGGTAGCATGATAAAGCAGCACAGTGGCAAAGTTGTAGCTGTGACAGAATGGCTGCTTTCTCTCCTTTGGTCCGTACTCGGTACAATTGAATTATAGGTGGATTCATATGCCTGTCAGGTTGATCGGAAGGGGGAAGGATAAAATAACTTGCTTTTTGATTCTTCCTTTCCTTCTGACTAGAGCAGTATCATGAGAGGTGTTGCTGTGACTAGGAATTGAATTCTCGAAATGTTGATGGGAACGGTTGATTTGCTTGCTTGAAGTTCAGTTGTTAACTCAGTAGGGGTGAGGTGAATATAACATTCTCTGTATGTTGTGAATGTTAGCCAAATTTAACCTTCTTCTGCAGCAGGGCATCTGCTTTAAGGAATGAAGCTGAATGAAAATGGACTCCTAATGTTCTTATGTATGATATTCCTAAATGTAGAAAGTACAAAAAAAATTTTATAGTCATGTTGCCTTCATCTTATGATTCCATTCTGTATCAAATTTATGTTTAGGTATCACGGTGGATGACCGAAAAAAGATACATGCCTTTGAGAGAGCTGGATGTTTCCATTCAAATTAATTTGATTCACAGAGTACATGGCTTGAAGGAAGCTGAGAACTGTTTCAATAATGTCTCTAGTAAGCTAAAAGGCTTTAATGCTCACATAGCCCTCCTTAACTGTTATGTCCATGAAAAATCAGCGGAAAAAGCAGAGGCCTTAATGCAGAAAATGAGGGAAATGGGGTATGCTAATTCACCACTACCCTACAATCTCATGATGAATCTCCATTATGGCTTGGGAAACTGTAAGAAGCTAGATGATCTAATGAATGAAATGGAAGGAAGGGGAATTAAATTTGACCCATTCACCCTCACCATCCGGTTAAGTGCTTATGCGGCTGCTTCTGATGCTGAAGGTGTAGATAAAATTGCTAAGATGATGGAAATTGATCCGCTGATTGTTCCAGACTTTAGTGCCTATGCTGTTGTAGCCCAGGGGTACTTAAAAGTTGGTCAGTTGGATAAAGCTTTGCCAATTTTGAACAAAATGGAGGAATTAGCAGTAACCACAAGGAAAGGAAAATTTCCGTATGATTTCCTGCTCAAATTGTATGCTGGAATGCAGAGGAGAGATGATGTGCTCCGAATATGGGAAATGTACAAGCAAAAACAGAAGATCAATAACAAGGGTTACATGACCATGATGAGCTCACTACTGAGCTTTGGCGACATTGGAGGCATTGAGGACATCTTTAAAGAATGGGAATCAAGGGGATTATCCTATGATTTTCGGGTTCCAAATGTTTTGATACATGCTTATTGCAGAAATGGGGAATTGGAGAAGGCTGAGGCCCTTATAGACAAGGGGTTATCAGAAGGGGGTGAACCTTTTTCAACAACATGGTTTTATATGGCACTTGGATACATAAAGGATAATCAAATTTCAAAAGCTGTGGAAGCATTGAAGAAGGCAATCTTGAAATGCCCTCCTGATCACAAGCCTAATACAGAAACATTGAACACCTGTCTGGAACATATGGAGAGGGGGGATGTGGAAAAGTCAGAGGAGTTCATAAAGCTTATAAAGAAAGAGAGCTTATATTCACTGGCTGTTCAGGATAGCTCCATGGATTTTATCAAGTCTGGTGAATCTCAATCTTGATTGCATGGCTGATATCGAAGAAATTGCAGCATCAAGTTTTCAATTTCTTGAACGGCATTACATTATGAAGAGCATATATATAATGATACATACACCTTGCTGATTGGGTTTTCAACCGCTCATGATAGCTCAATTTCAGGTAATGTTTTCGAGGCTGCCTAGTACATTTGATTCAATTCCTTGTAGTGTCACTTACTGCGGTTAGTCATCACTCACCAGGTAAATATGCAGTTATTCAACTCTTCATATTATGTTAACAGCCTTGTTGTCACGGCGAAGTGGTTTAGTAGCAACATAGACTTCACTTTAAGGTGTTTAAGCAGTTATTTGACCCCTAACTAGCCTCTTGGAGATCATATATATTGCTGTTTGATATGACACTTATATTTTCCGTACTCTAGATATCAGAACATTCCAAGTTAGGTATGGAATTGAAGCTAGATATATTGTACTTGCGTGATGAATTGAATTTTAATCAAGTGCTGAACAACTCTTGTACCCCTAGGCGTGGAGGGATTCTCTCACTACCTGCCAACACCTGTATATCAGATTTCACATGGGAGTCCTTGTCAAATGTTTAAGAGGTGAATCCTCCTTGCATGCCCTACAATGCCCGATCTGATTCTTGCATCTGCCTTCATCAATGAACGTGGTACAATCAACCACTAGTAATTTCATTTTTGTCCCTACATATCAAGGGCCAAGCTACAGCTTCTTGATTGGGATAAGTAGTTTATTGTACTCTGGTTCTACTCTCATGGCCCATGAAATTATGTCTCAATTATGTAATATGAAGAATATTCAACCTGAAAAAGCTTCCAACCAAGAGATAACCTGAGAAGGGTATCAACTTGATAATTCAAGATGTCCTTTTTCCAGCTGAATCAGCTTGATGCGTAGCTTACATCATTCTGGCAAATCCATTATTCTTATCCGAAAATGGATGCAATTGTATCAAATGCTGACAATCCATTTGTCAGACACTGAAAGATTTGCAACGCTGATCATCTGCTGTGATAGGATATCATGTAAAATGAGAAGAAAAGTTTGAAGATGACAATTTGCCATTTGGGCTCGTTTTGCGCAATCTTTGAAGATAATTAGAGCTTCCAATGCACAACATTTTGACTTCTTGTGTCTTCCATTTCAGTACGAGAGCTATAATTATTATTGTTCAGTTCAATCGATCCTTGCTATCAGAGACCGGACTTCTAAAGATAATACTAAAAACCGATTGGGTAGTTGGATTATGGAACTAAATTCGGGGTTTGGTACATTGGATGAAACTTTTTTAGAATGGGCCATACATCTATGCAAAAGGATAAGTTTACAGTGGAAGTTTATTGAATATTCACTCCGTTTGGATTAGTTGTGTTTAAAATTATTTTTAAAATATTTTATTATAATAATGTATATAAAAAAATTTTATTGTAAATATTTTTTGTGCTATTTTTGAAATAGATTTTGAGATATTTGTAAAGTTAAAATATATTTTAGTGTATTTTTTAAAAATTAATACTATCACTCACTGTCGCTGTCACCTCTTCCCAACTCCTCCTCCCTTTTTCTTCTCCCTTTTTCTCCTCTTCTCCTTTGTCCTCCCTCTCTCCTCTTTCCTTCCCCTTTCTTTCCCTTTTCCTGCCCCTCCCCTCCTTTCCGCTTCTTGTCTAGTTGTGGACAGCTTGGGGAGGTGGAGGTAGGAGGGGCGGCGATTGTGGCCGGAAAGGGAAGGGGAAGGAAAAGGAGGGAAGGAGAAGAGGAGGAAAAGGAGGGTAGAAGAAGAGAGAGGATGTTTTTAGAGTTATTTTTGTTTATATATTATTCTAACATTATATATGAAAACATTAATAATCATGATTCAACTAGTTTTATCCTCCCCTATTTAGAAAAGGTTAAAAAAAAACAAACAAAGTAAGATTCTTTGGCATATGAAAATGTTGCAAATAAGATTGTGGAGCTCTTATTTGTCCAATTAGAACGTTTTCATTAGTCAAAAATTAATTATTATGCTTGGTAAGTATTTTGTCTTGACCGAAATAAAATTTCTAACCAAAACGGATCAATAGGCAAACTATAACGCAGTTGTAACATAAAAAAAATGTAGTAACAAATAAGATTAAAACGAGTTTAAATGATCATTACAATAGTAGTATCTTTTTTGTTTCATTTTCTTTCTTTGTTGATTATAATGAAACGGTAATTAAGTAATTCCACAAAATAAAATGTCATTCATTTCATACTAGCTTTTATTTGAACATATTACCATCTGGGATAAAAAAATTAAGGTCCCCACACCTCCAAAAAATAAAATAAAATAAATATTCATTCACATAGGTCCCCCACGATTTTAGACGCTGGCACTTGACTTTACATGCATACGACAACGCATGGTCAAATCATACTGTAAAATCAAGATGGTATTATCATTGTTTTATTGTAGCTAAAATGGTAAAAGTACATTACAATGAGCTTTGCTGATGTTCTAATACCCCATTCAAATTTTTAAAATTAATCATTAAGCTTTGGTGGGTAGCATTTTTTGTGATATGATATATGTGAAATAAGAAAATAATAGAAAAAATTGAGCGGCGATTGTTATTCAAAAAATGGAGAACCCAACAGAGCCATATTATTCTGAAATACAGCAAAGTACATTGAAAAAAAAAAAAAAACACATGGACAAGTTATAAGGAACATGAGAAATCTATAAGCATGATTCATTCCCAAAAAAAAAAAAAAAAATCTTCAACGCATGATGATGATTGATGAGTATCAAAATAATTCCATCACATAAGGTGCACAACACACCAACACCTAGATAAAGAGTGTTGAACGACCTATGATCTGCCGACATTTTTTGCACAAAGAAGTCCTTGGGCCGCTACTTACCTTCGACTTGTCATTTTCACATGGTTTTACACGGTATGTTAATTATATGATAAGTAAGAGTTTAATCTAACATCAGAACTAAGCCTATGTTCGCATCATTTATAACATTTAATCAAACCCGTGCTAAAGCCTCCACTAGAATCTTTTTGATCTTTGACCGCGATTTCGCTCGACTATCTTGGTTGGAGATCAAGAGTTTCGCCATTTTAATCAACCCACCCCTTCATTCTCCTGAGAAATAAACAATCGTAAGAGAGAAGGCAAACGGAGCTAGGGAAAATTAAACTTAAGAGCCAAAAACTATAAGCTCCTAGAAGGCCTCCTAATTAACCAAGACCTTGTGCAAGGTCTTAATTTTTGGAATCAAGATCTTACACGAGTATTGAGAAACGTATTTAGAGATTGAAATTCAAAAAAAAATGGTTTTATGTTCGTTTCATAAGAGAGAATTAAGCTTGACTGGCCAATCTATCCGCATATTATCTGATGGAATCAAATTGCAAAACTAAGCACAGAAACAAGTTGTAGTCTCAAGTTCTTCTATGGCAGGATCAAAGTTCGAGCAGAAACGAAAACCATCCAAGACTTGGCAAAAATTGTGGGTATTACCACAGATCATCATATATTACATACCATGTCGTAACAATCGAAGGTTATTGACATGCCTCTGAGATCCATTTGTACAAAGAGGTCAGGGGAGGAGGGATACCTAAGCTAAACATTTTCGTCATCGATGCTAAAGCACAAGACTAGAATACAAAAAGGCACAATAGAATCCAACAGAAGAGAAAAACTGATATTCTGTTTAAGGATTTGTGAGCTTGTATCTCCTGCCTTCTCACCCTGGGGCTGGCACTTCCTTCTGTATGGTATGAATTGGGAAATGTATAAAAGCTCTCCCAGTTACCAAATGCCCTAGCATATATCATCTCTCCATAGTTTCCATTCATAGGATGACAAACCGCCAGTGGGACCGTTAATGCAGGTGAACTGGAATCCTCACTCTCACTCGGGGCTGTCGGATCAGTTTGTAGATTCAGGTAAGGACTGTTAGATGGCAGCTGTTGGCGAAGATTGGCGGAAGTCGCCTGAGCTTGTCTAGCAGATGCGTTTGGTCTAGGAGGTATTGCCATGACCTTACTTGAAGAGGTCACTTTGTCGTCAGACACAGGTTCAGAGAGGCTTCGGCCACGGCCATAAAGGGGCACAAGGGATTCTTGGGAAATTTCGGCCTTGCAAATTGGGCAGTATGTGCACTCATCTTGAGTAAGAGAAGACATCTGCAACTCTAGCCACTTATAAATGCAGGGCCAACAGTAGAGGTGCCCACAGAAGGTAACAACTGGATCGTTCGCTGATTCTAAGCAGATGCTACAATCAAAGCAGGCAGATGCCTTCTCGGAGTCTGCTATTTTTGAAGCGGGGATGGATTTCAAATCTTGTGCCAGTTGTTGCTCAAATTCCATAGCCATGATTTGACAATCTTCTATCAGCCTAGGATTGTTTTGTCTGAAAAGAGACAATCAGAAAACAACAATGTTTTATTTTAGTGCCTCGAGAGATCGGCTTTCGAAACCGAAAACACAAGTAAAGGTCAAAAGAGCATCAAGATTGCATATGGAGACCAACAAGTCAAGACATGGCCAAAAGATGCTAGACGGCCAAATAAGTTAGGAAGAGATGAGTAAATGCATCTTTCTTGGGTACAACTCAGTATTTTTAGTCGTGTTTGGTGGTTGGGTGTTTAAACAATATCCAAAAACATGATGCATGAATCAACAAAAATAAAGGGCCCATCAGCACGAATTTAGTAAACAAACAAAAGGAAATTAGTAGGTAAACAAACAAAGGATGGAGGCACGCCTCCAAAAGATAATACATGTGATCCTTCACAGAAGACTCCTTCAAATTTCTGAATACTAGCAGCTCTTTAGTTAATTTTTTTTTTCATAAATGAATCTCCAATTAGCAGAAAGATTTCCATCTCAACACCCTAGTGATCAACCAAATTGAAGAAATTGAAAAGTTACAGGGAAACTAGAAAAGTAAAAGGGCTTGTTGGCTTCTGTTTAGACAGGCGACAAAATTGGCAGGCAAAGCACATAGAAGTTTCAGACATATAATTTCCAAGTGGTCCTATACACTATACAGTAGCATATCTTGTAAAATTTAAGAGAAAAATCAAATCTTGAAGATCTCCGCAGAAATCAATTCAAATACTACTTTAATACCGTTCATCCACGCAAAATCACCAGCATCTATCCCAATAATTTGTTTCAATTCTCATACTAATAACCAACTAAAAAGCTCAGCATCACAATTCACAAGCAAAAACCAATCCTTAAAGAAATGGATCTAAGTGAATATTCCGCATTAACTTACAGAAAATTAAATTTTACATTAACATGATCTTTAACAACTATGCAAAATTAGTCTCTTGCTCCAACATGTTAACGTAGAACTTGCAGAGCTACCACATAAGGCCAATACAAAAGTTCCCCAGACTAACAAAAGAAAAAATACTAGCCAAGGATACACAATAAAGATGATCAAGGATACACACCTAAAAAGAAAAAAAATTTGATGGATTCTTGTTCCAAGAAGGAGCTGTTCAGCTTTCTAGTGCTTCAATGGCTCTTCTTGAGAGAAGATCTGATAAATCTGGAGTTGTTCAGAGAATCTCAGGAGTAACCCAGTAGGATTTTTTCAGAAAAAAATGAGAATGAGTGTAGCCTTGATGAAGTTAAGGTGGGGAACGGAGGACGGTGGTGGTAGTTGGCACTTGAAGAGCTGATGGCCTTACTCTTTGGGGAGAATTGGGAGTTAATAGGGGGCTAAAATATATATACACAGGCGAAGAAATTCTCAACAAGGGAAATTAGTGGAGTTGTATTTTTTATTTTCTTTATTTTTTTTTTTTTGTGGTGCCGTTTGTTTGATGGGATGACGTGGCATTTTCTTACGGGTGAGAAAAAGGAAATACACGTGCGCTACACTCTATGTTTTATTGTCCTTGTCACCGGTGGCCAAATCCAGGACGAAGCTTCTATTTTCTTTTTGTTACTTTCTAAGATAATATTAAATGGCTAAAATGTGACTTTTTATGCTTACTCGGTTAAAATCTCAAAGGTGGTCGTGTTTTTTTATTTACCTATATGGTGTATATATTTTTCCAAAAGTATATTTAGATTATTTACTAATTTTTCCTTGGAACCACAAAAATTTAATTATATAGCTAAATA